TCAAGTGAATAAAAAATCTGATGAACAGAGTGAACTGGTGATTATAATAGAATCAGGGGCATCGAAAGGGAGTGGACTGACAATTCTCGGGGGGGTGGGGAGAAGGGGTGTGGGAAGAGACTGGACAAAAATTGTACATCTATGGATGAGGGCAGTGGGGGGGTAAGGGAAGAGTGTGGGGTGGGAACTGGGTGGAGGGGAGCTATGGGGGTAAAAGAGGAACAACTGTAATAATCTGAACAATAATGATTTATTTAAAAAAATAATAATTTCAGTTGTCATCCTAAGAAATTAGCAAATGGGGAAACTGAGCCCAAACAAAAGGAAGAGAATAAATAAAAAAGTCAATTGAAGAAAAAACAAAAATAGAGAAGAATTAATGAAACCAAAAACTGGGTCTTAAAAGATCAAAAAGATGGAAAATCTTTAGCTAGACTATGGAGACAAAAATAGCCAAAATGAGAATCAACAGAGAGACACCACTATTGACTTTACAGAAACTTAAAGGATTGAGGATACTATGAACTACTTTATGTTCACACTTAAGTAAAACACAATAATTATCTGAAAGACAAAAATTACTGAGTATAACAAGTTGAAAAAACGAAATGCTAAATAAACTGAATTAGTAATTATAAAATCTTCCCATAAAAAGAGCTTTTTTAGTAAATTCAACCAAATATTTAAAACTGTAAATAATATGATCCCTCACAAACTCTTACAGAAAACAAAGGAACCCTAAGAGGCTAATATTAAACTGACACCAAAGCCAGACAAACAACTATATGACAAGAAAACTATTGACAAATATCACTCATGGGTATCACAAAATCCTCAACAAAATATTACAAGCCAAATCCAGTAACACATAAAGAGGATTATATACCAAAATCAAGTGGAATTTGTTCCAGCAATACAAGGTTGGTTTTACATTTGAATGCCAATTGATGTACTACATCATACATTAATACTGGAAAGGAAAAACACCATCTCAATAGACAAACAAAAGGCATCCATCACCCATTCATGACAGAAAACTCCAACAAACTAGGAAAAGAAAAAAATTTCCTCAAACTGATCAAAGATATCGACCTAACATCACAGTTCACATCATAGTTATGTTTAAGATCTGAATGCTTTTCTCCCAAAGACTGGGAACAAGGCAAGTATTCTATTCAATAATACACTGTTCTAGCCAATGAAATCAGGCAAGAAAAATAAGCAACAATGAGATTGAAAGTGAAGAATTAAAATCGTCCTTTGATAGGCAACATGACACCAATTAAAAAGAAAATTTAAGAATCCTTGAAAAATTATTAGAATAAAAAAATTTAAGTACAGTTGCAGGATACAAGATCAATCAACAAAAATCAATTGTTTAATTACATTAGCAATGAAAAGTTTAAAAAATATGACCCTACTCACAATAGCAGCAAAAACAATGAAATAGTAACAAATTTAACAAAATGACAAATTTTATACTCTGAAAACTAAATAAAACTGCTAAATTTCAAAAGCCGCTTTCATACTGGTTTCTGTTTTTCTCTCTCCTCTCTCTCCCTCTCCCTCTCTCTCTCTTCTTTCCTCCCTCCCTCTCCTTTCCTTTCTAAAACTTAATAAAGAAAAAGATTATTTAACAACCAATGGGTAAAAAAGTGAAAAGAGAAAAAAAACTCTTGCAATCCTAATATATAAAAACCCAGGGTCCATAAGGACTGAAGGCCCTACCAACCGGAAGTGAGTCCTGCAGTCAATGCTGGGTTGCCGTGGCGACCCAGCACTGACTGCCGCTGCCCACGTGGCGACCCAGCACTGACTGCCAAAGGGGCTGCGGATCAGGCCTGGAGAGGGGCCTGAAAAGACAGGCAGGTTCTCATGCGCAGTCTCCATGGCAGCTGTTGATCAGCCGTTGCCTCTCTCTTTCTCTCTGGGCCTCCTAGGGCGCTGCTGATCAGCCCCACCTCTCTGATGAGGCCCGGAAACACTGACTGGCATAGAAACTGACCAATCAGAACCAAATAAGGGGGAAGTGCGAGGAGCCAATGGCTGCGTAGGAGGTGGAGCTTTTGACACTGCCTGGCATAGAAACCGACCAATCAGAACCTAATCTGGGTGAACTGCGAAGGCAGAACCTAAGGTGGGGGCTGAGGAAGGGTTTTAAGGGCAACAGCTGTTTGGTGTAAGGTATGAGAAAGCGGTTCAATTTTTTAATGCCTGGTTTGGCAGTATAGTGCATATGGCTGGCTATCAGTCTAGACATAGGGATTATGTATTTTTGTCTGCCAAGAGCACCTCCTTCTGCTGAAAAAGGCTTTTTCCCCCCATTTAAGCAATCCTATCCTATATAATATATCTATACTAATAAAAGGGTGATCTGCTAATTAGAATGGGTCGACTGGCCATCTTCCAGACTTCCGATTTCCTTCCGGACAAAGCCATGGTGGTGGGGGCTGAGGCAGAGAGGGCAGCTGGGGGCGAGATCAGGCCGGCAGGGGAGGGCAGTTAGGGGCGATTAGGCAGGCAGAGAGGTTAGGGGCGATCAGGCAGGCTGGCAGAGGGGTTAGGGCCAATCAGGCAGAGGCAGTTAAGGGCAATCAGGCAGGCAAGCAGGTGAGCAGTTAGGAGCCAGCTGTCCCAGATTGGAGAGGCTGAGGGAAACCACCCCATGCACGAATTTTGTGCACGGGGCCACTAGTTCAATAATAAAAAGTCATATTACAAAATTTAAAAATTTGAATTGATGTTTCACCATGAGGGCATAGTTATGGCAATAGCACATGAAGAAATGCTCAAGATCATGGAAGTGTAATTTAAAACCACAATAAGACAAACTATTTCACATCCACTAGAACGGCTAAAATTGAAAAGACAAACAATAAAAACTACTAGCGAGAATGTAGAGCAACTAGAACCCTCAAATGGGATAATCTATAATTGTGCAACCATTATGGAAAATATTTTGGCAGTTAAATGCAAATCTACCATAGGATTTAGCAATTTCACTTGTAGCAATAAATCCAAAAGAAATAAAAACACATTTTCAGGTAAAGAACTCATAACAAAATACTTATAACAATACTATACCGTTCTCAATAGCCAGTGGAAACAACTCAAACGTCCATTAACTGGTGAATGGACAATAATATAATATGACATATTTATACAAAACACTACTTGGTAATTAAAGAGAACAAAATACTGATATAACTACCACATAAAGGAACAGAGTAAGAGAAACAGCCAGGCACAAAAGACCACATATTATAGAAGTGAATTTTTATGAAATTTCCAGAAAAGTTATCTATAGAGACAAAGCAGATTAGTAGCTGTCTGTGGCTAAGAATGGGAAATGACTAAATTGGCACAAGGAATCTTTTGATGGTAATGAAAATACTCCAAAGTTAAGGTGTGTTGGTAGCACAACTGTAAATTTACAAAATATCATTTAATTGTACACTTAAAACAGGTTACTGTGATGGTATGTAAAGCATATCTCAACAAAGCTGCTTAAAAATGTGTTAAGCTAAGAGGTCCACAGCATATTGTTATGTGAAAAAAAAAAAATCTTTCCAAAACATATTATATAACTTACTTTCAATTAAACATTTAAAAAAATCTGAAGTGCATAAACAAGAATATGAACAAGTCTGGGGAGTGAGATAATGGGGAAACTTGTACTTTCTGCTTTATAGCCATTTTGTTTGCTTGTTTTTAGATTTTCAAACACAGAACAAACTCCAAAGCAAGGGAGATGGTTTGAGTAGGTGCCGTAGAAAGAAGCAGTCACAACCAGCCGTCAGGAGGGGAATGCTACTGGCATCTGGTGGGTAGAGGACAGGGATGCTACACAACATCCCAAAATATAGAGGACAATCCCCACAACAAAGAATTACACGTCCGGCTGGCCAGCATAGCTCAATGGTTGAGGGTCGACCTATGAACCAGGAGGTCAGAGTTTGATTTCCAGTCAGGGCATATGTCCAGGTTGAGGGCTGCATCCCCAGTAGGAGGCGTGTAGGAGGCTGCTGATCAAATGATTCTCTCTCAACACTGATGTTTCTATCTTTCTCTCCCTCTCTGAAATCAATAAAAATATATTTTAAAAAAACAAAAACTATGAGAGGAGAAGTGAGCTGGTTGTTCTATATTTAAAAAAAATAAAAAAATAAATTATATATATAAGATAATATATATATATAATATATATATATAAATAAAAAATATATATATGAAATATATATATAAAAATTACCTGGCCCCAAAATGTCAATAGCACCAGGGTTAAGAAAGCCCAATTTACAATAACAGTCCTTCTTAGTCCTTTGAAAATCAGAAAATGTATACCTATCAAGACTTCACAGAAGAAAACAGTAAACACTGATATAAAGGTATTAAAAAATTTTTAATTAAAATTATTCATGAAAAGATAACGCTAAGATGGTTTTTAGCCTTAGCCTCTTCAAGCAAATTAAAAGTTATAGTGTGCTGCTTATGCCAAACTGACATAATTTAAGAAAACTATCTCTTGAAATCTGCTGCATTAAGTAGGAAAAATAGAGTAAGTCTCCTACGTATGTGCACTTAATAAAGAGAAGCCTCACTAACCCACCAGATTCAAACTTATGTGATCAGATGCCTCACACTGACTAACTTAAATATGCAATCCACACTTAACTGATGTTTCTAAGTAAAGGCCATATGCTCAGAATACCTTTGCATACCTAGAAACCATCATTCGAAGAGCACATTAAAATTCTGAGAACACAAGAAAAGCATGATGAAGCAGTCACTGTTCTGACTTGGGTAAGGGACTGGGGTCCTTGGTTGGAACACTGTCAGATCTATTGTCTTGATTTACAAGAAACTGGACAAAATACTATTCTGTGACTATATTTTTTAAAGTGCTGTTAAATAAAAGCCTCTGTTGTAGAATACAGTTCTAAGGACCACAGAGGAGGACTGTGGAGGAAAGGAGCAAAGAAAAAGGGAACAATAAATACCTCAATCCTCCGTTTTGCTTTGTCATAAGCTCTTTCTTCTTTAGTTCGATCATCATCAGAGTCATATTCAGATTCTGAGCTCAATTCTTTACTTGGCTTTTTAACTAATGTTTTAACCGAATCTTTCTCATCTGACACCTTTTCTTCCTCTTCTTCACCGTCACTGCCTTCACTTTCTTCTTCTTCCTCTTCACTCTCTTCTTCTTCTTCTTCTTCCTCTTCCTCCTCTTCCTCCTCTTCCTCGGGGTTTTCTTTTACTTCTATATGCACTGTGTTTCCTTCTTTCAGAAAAACAAGAGATTTTATAATAAACAAAAATTAAAAATGAGATTCCCATCAACATAAGAGACCTTAAAGACAAATAAGGCAGCAATATTATATCTTTAATTCCAAATAAGTCTTTGCCCATATGCTACAATGAAGACTGCCATTTTACAGTAAACATGTAAAGCATTAATTCATACATAATCAAATAAAAAAAAGAAAGACATTACTAAGCCAGGATACAAGAGGACAGAAACCTGGGATGTTGAATACAATACTTGGTATTGCCTTACCCTGGGGTTTATGTGCGGAATTCTGGAGGAGGCAGCTCAAAGGTTGAGCAGTGCTTTCTAGCCCCTCAGTGAATAGGAGCATTGGGAATGCAGGCCTACCAAGGATTCAGGGAGGGCAAGGTAGATGAACACTAGATAACACCCTTACTGTGAGGTAAAACCTGAAAAACTGTACCCTAGCAGTAAGGATGAATAGGAAGTAAACAGAACCTCCCCCTCATTCTTAGCAGAACACTTCTAGGTTCTCTGAATTCTACATTTGGAATAATTAACTAGTGTTTATTATTCCTAGTTCACTCCTGGTGAATGTACAAAGAAATTCTTTTTGGAGGGTGGAAAAAAAAATCCTTGACCACAAATTATTTCTATACTTTTACAAATATAATATCTACATATATTATAAAAACACATAAAAGTAACAAACCACACGAGAAAACAATTCACATGAGGAAAGCCAGCATACCCAGAGGGCTTCCACTGAAGTCATGAAGCCAAAATTAAAAAATGACTATGCTTCTAACATCCAGGGAGCAAAAGATAAGACTAAATTTTTTAAAAAATGAAATTTTTACCAGAAGACAGACCAGAAGAAGCAATCTAACCCTGGTGGAGTGCCTCAGTTGCTTACAGCAGCGCCCTGACATGACAAAGTTGTGGGTTCAATCCCCAGTCAAGAACACACACAAAGAATCAACTAATGAATGCATCAATAAGTGGAACAACAAACCAGTATTTCTCTTTCTCTCTTCCTCCCTATCTAAAATCAATAAAAATTTAAAAAATTTTTTTAAAATGAGCAAACAACTAGAATAAACCATGGAGACTTAATAAGATGGAAAATACAGTAAAGTGAATAAAATAAAATGCAAGAATACAGTAACAAGGTCTATCTAGTCATAACTAGATTACCTGAGGGGAAATAATGGCTCATTACATTGCAAAACTGATAAAAAAACATAAAACCATACATTTATAAAGCTCTACAGGCAGAATAAATGAGAAAAAATCAACCCAAGTTATATCATAATTAAACTGCTAAAAACCAAAGACACATGAAAAATTTATTTGTTGAATCCTCAACAGAAATAATGAAAGACAAGACAAGGGAGTAATATTTTCAAAGGGTTAAATAAATAAAAGTTTAGCAAAGGCCCTAACCGGTTTGGCTCAGTGGATAGAGCATTGGCCTGCGGCTCAAGGGTCCCAGGTTCGATTCCGGTCAAGGGCATGTACCTTGGCTGCGGGCACATCCCCAGTAGGGGGCGTGCAGGAGGCAGCTGATTGATGTTCTTGCTCATGGATGTTTCTAATTCTCTATCCCTCTCCCTTCCTCTCTGTAAAAAATCAATAAAATATATTTTTAAAAAAAGTTTAGCAAAGAACTCCTCACTCAGTAAATATATCCTTTAAGAATGAAGTTAAGAAAAATATTTTTAGAAAAGCAAAAATGGAATGTCTCACTAATAGATTCCTACTAAAGGAAATTCTAAAGGGAGTTCTTCTGGCAGGAAGAAATAACCCCAAATGGAAGGTCAGAGATGTAGGAAGAAATTAAGACCAACAAAAAGCTAAGAATTTAGGTAAATTTAAATAAATATTGACTATGAAAAATATGGTATTATGGGGTTTAAAATAGAGAATTAAAACAAATGAGAATAATGACATATAAATTGAGAACTGAGTAAATGTTATTCATGTATTCAGTGGTCTTTGCATCGTCTGGGAAGATGGTAACATTACACAATGATAGTTCAAAGGTCCATGTTAAAAGTCTCTAGGTTAACACTAAAAGTAAATGAAAAAGTACACAACTTCCAAGCTCATGGAAGGAGGAAAAAATGTTAATAAAAAGAATCCAACAATCCAAAATATAGTAAGAAAAGAGAGAAAAAACAAAAAGACAAAACAAATAACAAGGATTTAGTGAGATAAGTATAAAACCAATATACTTCATTAATTACAACAAATGTTAGGTATAAGAATGGGCTAAGTGCACTAGGTAAAAAATAAAGACTGACAAACTGGATATAAAAATCTCAATTACAGGCTCTTTAAGGACACAGAAAGAATAATAAATACAGGAAAAAAGCACGTAAATCAAAGCGTGTGGAACTGTATTAATTAAAATCAGATAAAGTACATGTTAAAGGCTAAAGGTATCACTAAAAATGAATAAAAATAAAATATAAAGTAAATATAATATAAACAAATAATATATCAGTAAGAGTCGATTCATCAGAAAGATGTAAGACTGTGTTCACCTAATAATGTAACACCAAAATACAGAAAGCAAAAGTTGGCAAAACTCAGGGAAAAATAGACAATCTGCAATCATGGTGGGAGATTTTAACACATCACTTAGTAAAAGAAAAAGCACACCAGAAAAAACTCAGAACATAAAAGACTTAATCAAAACGATCAGCAAACTTGACTAAACACAGTGAACAAGACACCAAGCACACCCAATCACATATGAAACATTTACAATAATCAACTATTTGCTGGGTTGTAAATTCTCAACCCATTGCAAAGGACAGAACCATGTATGTTTTCTGATCATAATAACTTAACAAGAAGATAATTAGAAAGTCCTTACTAATGTAAATTAAGAAATGTACCTCTAAATAAATCATAGGGCCCTAACCGGCCCTGCGGACTCAAGGGTCCCAGGTTTGATTCCAGTCAAGGGCATGTACCTTGGTTGCGGGCACATCCCCAGTAGGGGGCGTGCAAGAGGCAGCTGATCGATGTTTCTAACTCTCTATCCCTCTCCCCTCCTCTCTGTAAAAAAATCAATAAAATATACTTAAAAAAAATAAATCATAGGTAAAATTAACATATATTTAAATGTAAATTTAAAAAAATCAACATATCAGAACCTGTAGAATTTTGCTAAAGCCATGCTTAAAGAAAAATTTATAATTTTAAAAATATTTGAGGTGAAAGACTGAAAAACAAAGAGATAAATATCCAACTCAAAAAGGAAAAAACCCAGCAAATTAAACCTAAAGAAAGTTGATTTTAGTAATAAAGGATAGAAAGTAATTACAAAAAGACACTTTTTATCAGAGTGATTAGGAAATATACTATTATTTCTATTGAGTTTGTATTATATTTTAAGTTAAAGAGGCTTTTTGTAGGCTAGCTTTAATAACTTAACCCCATTTATAACATTATCACTCTGAAAAACTGTATTCTAAATCCCAGGCAACTATCTTACAAATGACCTTCTGAAAAACCACCTATTCATGAAATGGGATCCACATGAGGATTTAGGAACCATAGCAACGGAGAGAGCAAAACTGCTCTCCGTCCTCAGGAATGCTCATATAGCAGTCATTATGAGGAGACTAACTATTCCTTTAAATATAAACACCTCTAATAACCACTGGATTTATCAACAAGTGCTTACGAGCTATTCACCTTTTTCTCTCTCCTCATCACTGACCATAGCTTCCCAGTCATCCAATCCAGCTTCCTCAGTTTCTTCCTCCTCTTCTGTAAATAAAAGTTTTCATTAAAGACATAGAAAAAAGTGGAAAATTATGCTGACCTAAAAAGAAATGTTTTAATTATGCAAAAAAAAATACACACAATTTCATTATCTTTGGAACTAATTTTCAATATAGCTATCATGTTATAATTTATTATTACTAAATGATTCACAATTCCCTAGTATTTTGAATACAGGTTGGGGCAAAAGTAGTTTTACAGTTGTTTGTATGGAAAATGCAATAATTACTAAATAATGATCCTATATAATAAAAGCCTAAGATGCAAATTGTCCCCTTGACCTGGAGTTCAACCCAGAGTTTAACTGCTTGCTATGACAAGTGCTGACCACCAGCGGGCAGCACGGAACATGGCAGGTGTCAGCAACATGGCACTGGCAGTGGAGGTGCCACCAGCCCCAACGAGAGCAGGACCAGGGTGGAATGATGGAGCAGGTGAGTGGGCAGCGCCAGATCAAGGCAGGTGTGAGTGGGGCCCAATCGCCTCACCAATCACCCTGCAGATGGCAATCAGCAGCGGGGCTGCCCGGCTCCCAGATGCTGAGGGAGCCTGGCAGGGGTCCAATGATTCAGGCAGAGAGTTGGGGGCACAGGAGACCGGGGTCTCAGGTGCTGCCCAGGGCCCAGGGGTTAGCTGGGACCTGCCCTTCCACACCAGAAGCTCAGGCTTTGATCGCCGGCCAGGCCTAGGGACCACATCCATGCATGAATTTCATGCACCAGGCCTCTAGTACAAGAATAAACTCTGTTTCATGTACTCATAACTGTAAACCTACTCTTGCCCCAACCAGTACACTAGGGCACATGATCACACTCTATTCTTGAAGACAAATGAAATTTCACATATATCTTCTTTTTGATTTTTCAACTAAACTTTATACACATAAGAATTTATTTTTCTTTAGCCTCTATAGATACATACAAATACTACATAAATCACATAATTGGATGTACAAAGCTACATCTCTACTCATGTTGAAAATTAGAAGAGATGTTGTGCTTACAACGCAAAAATAGTCAGAAAGGTATTATTTTGAATATTAAGAACTTAATACTGCCTTTAACAACAATGACACTTTTACTGAAATCCAATTAGGCATAACTATTCTCAAAAGATGAGGGCACATGTAGTATTTGCTTCTCTGGAAAAATCATTTGCCAGCAAGTTTGGATAAGTCATCTTAAGGAGGAGGAAACAACAGTCAGGAACATGTGCCCAAAGAGGCCTCCTTCCAGTTTAGCAATTCTTTTTACTGCTACAGATATCACCTACAATCCTGGACTGCTATAAGCATGTCAAATGGAATTTCTCTAGTTTCATTACGCTAAGCTAAGATGTGCCCAAACAAATGATATTTTTTTGCACTGTGAACCAGGGGGGGATGTAGAGAGGGACTACCAGTAATATTTTTCCCCAGGGTAGGTCAGTCTTGACATCCTCAAGTGTTTCTACTCCCATTCCTGTCTTTGAACACTTGAGAGTCTCTTGATTTTACCAAACATACATTATGTTAGCCTGTGGCTTCCTATCAATATCTAGTTTCATGAATTAGAATAATATTTATCTTAAAAAAAAAAAAGAAGAAGAAAAGAAAGTCAGAGACTTTCTCCAACCTAAAAACACAAACACTGAATAAACTGAATTGATTTACTAAATAAGAGGCTGACCTCTAAGAATGTTTTAAAAATAGTAACTTTTATGACTCTTAAAAAGTCCTAATTAAAAATGCTTCCAATTTTTCTTCAGAAAGATTAAATAACTTCAGGTCTTCTTGGTACCACCTAAGATTTCTGACCCATCAATAGAAAGAAAGTAAAAAACCTCTATCCTCTCTACAAAAATTTTATTCTACAAATAAAAAATTGATTCAAGGCTCACTTCCACACTTTTGCAATGTGGAAATAAAAAGAAATGATTTAGAAAAGACTATAAAAAAAGGCCACCCTGCCAGATATTTGGTTTCTCCAAACTAATAACTAGGACAGTTAGGACACATCAATGCTACTTAATAAGAATTTATTAGTCAATGCTACTGGCCTGGTTCAACAGGAGGTGGTGACTCTTCTTTTTCTGGTACACCTTGTTCCACAACTTCTACAGCAGCACTTAATTCTATTGGCTCAGACACTGAGTGAAGGGCAGAAACCAAATTAATATTTTTCAGTATATAATTTTTGTGAGGATACTCTATTAAAGTATTGAATAAAAATCATTAGTATATACTTAATTCTTTATCAAGTTCAAAAAATGTTTAAGTATGTCATATATTTTACAGAAAATAGTTTTTCTTTCTGCTCAAAGAATAGAATGTAAAAATACAGAAGATTGAGAAAAAAAGAAAATGATAGTTGTACTTTTCAGTTAAGAAGAGTTATTCACGGGGCAGGTCAGGATTGCAGCATAGGTAAACGCGGTACTCAACCTCCTCCCATAACCACATCAGAATTACAACTAAACTACAGAACAGCCTTCAGAACTGCCTAAAAGCTGGCCAAATGGAAGTCCTACCACTAGAGAATTAAAGAAGCCACATTGAGCAGAGGTGTGGAACAGGCTGGTCTAACACCCACTGGTGGCATTTGAGCTGTGTAGGTCCCCCATGAGGAGCCAGGGGTCCCAGCCCACATCAGACCCCTCAGCCCAGGGTTCCAGTGCTGAGAAGAGGTCTCCGTAACTTCAGGCTGAAAAAACCAGCAGGGATTGTGGCTGAGTGAACAAAGAATGATAGAGTCTCAGCCAGTTCCTCTTAAAAGGGCCAGCGCACTCATTCAGACCCACTTCCTCTGAGCTCCAGCTCTGGGGCAGCAGCTTGAAAGGATCCAGGGACATAGGGGGAAGACCTAAATTATCTGAAATCAGGGCAAGAACTGGGGGGGCAGATTTCTCTCAAACAAAAGTGCTGGCAGAGATCACTATTCCTTTGATGACCCCTTCCCCCCAACAGAGTCAACAATCAGGCACCATATCTGAGTCTCCATCAGTCTGGCTCACACTGTTTGCCCACCATGGTGATTCCCTGAGATCTGGCCCTACCCAATTTGCAGGCCCACTCAAGCTATTTCCAGTGGCTTTTCTATATGAAATGGCCAGTCGTGGCTCAGGCTTCAGACTTTCCTAAAATCTCTCAAGCAAGCAGCAGCTGGCCTTAGCATACCCTATACCTCTTGGTAAATAGCCCAGGCCTGGCACTAGCAGCAGCCTGCCTTGATTCACAGCTTGGCCTCTCCTGGGCACCTCCAAGCCCAAAACAGGTAACAGCAATCTACAGATCATTCTGTAGCTCACGACTGGGGGTAGTGGGGGTGTGTGGAGGTTGGCCAAGCGGGGAACAGGCAATAGCTGACTTTGAACCTCCCAGGAGGTCCCAGAGCCAGTGCACTCAGTGGTCAGATTAAGACCAAACCAGATTACAACCCTACCACATCCATGAGCGACACATTCAAGGGATGCATTTGGTGAGCACCAAAGCCACAATGAAACAAGTCCTGCTCCACAGGGGGTGTCTCCTGCACACTAGCTCTTCAACTGTAGTCACAGCTGGTCCTCACAGCTGATTAGCCTAGAGGTAAATCCCTTCCAGTGATGCCAACAGCAATAAAGGCTTAACTACAACAGAACAGTGCAAAGAGCCCACACAGGGATGCACCTAGAGTGCTGAGCTCAGGTGACTGGGGAGGCTGAGCCACTGGGCAATATAGGACACCTACCTACACACAAGGAGACTCTACCAATTCCAGGAGACAAAGCAGCTCTACCTAATACGTAGAAACAAATACAGGGAAGCAGCCAAAATGTGGAGACAAAGAAACATGTTGCAAACAAAAGAAGAGAATATCTACAGAAAAAGAACTAAATGAAATGGAAGCAAGCTAACTACCAGATACAGAATTCAAAACAATAGTTATAAGGATGCTCAAGGAACCCAGTGAGAACTTCAAGGAACTTAGTGAGAACATTGGCAACATAAAAAAGGACCATTCAGAAATGAAGAATACACTAGCTGAAATGAAGAATAATTTACAGGGAGTCAACAATAGAGTAGAGGATGTTGAGAATCAAGTCAGCAATTTGGAATATGAGGAAGCAAAAAAAAAAAACAAAAAAAAAAAACCCCAATCAGAAGAGCAGAAAGAAAAAATAATCCAATATGAAAATAGTGTAAAGAGCCTCTGGGACAACTTCAAGCATACCAACATTCACATCGTGGGGGTACCCGAAGGAGAAGAGAGGGAGCAAAAAATTGAAAACTTATTAAAAAAAAAAAATGACAGAAAACTTCCCTAGCCCTAACTGGTTTGGCTCAGTGGATAGAGCGTTAGCCTGTGGACTCAAGGGTCCCAGGTTTGATCCAGGTCAAGGACATGTACCTTAATTGGGGGCACATCCCCAGTGGGGAGTGTGCAGGAGGCAGCTAGCTGATCGACGTTTCTCTCTCATCAATGTTTCTAACTCTCTATCCCTCTCCCTTCCTCTCTGTAAAAAATCAATAAAATTTATTTAAAAACAAAACAAAAACAAAAACTTCCCTTATCTGGTGAAATAGACACACAAATCCAGGAAGCACAGAGTTCCAAATATGATGAACCCAGAGAGACCCACACCAAGGTACATCATAATTAAAATGCCAAAGGTTAAAGACCAAGAGAGAATCTTAAAAGAAGCAAGAGAAAAGCAGTTAGTTACCTATGAGGGAGCACCCACAGGACTGTCAGCTGATTTTTTTTAAAAAATATATTCTATTGATTTTTTACAGAGGAAGGGAGAGGGATAAAGAGTTAGAAACATCGATGAGAGAGAAACATAGATCAGCTGCCTCCTGCACACTCCCCACTGTGGGGGTTGTGTCCACAACCAAGTACATGCCCTTGACCGGAATCGAACCTGGGACCCTTCAGTCTGCAGGCCGATGCTCTATCCACCGAGCCAAACCGGTTAGGGCTGTCAGCTGATTTCTCAAGAAACTTTGCAGTCCAGAAGGGAGTAGCAAGAAATAGTCAAAGTGACAATAGCAAGGATCTACAGACAAGATTACTCTACCCAGCAAAGCTATCATTTAGAATTGAAGGTCAGATAAAGAGCTTCACAGACAAGAAAAAAACTAAAGGAGTTCATCATCACCAAACCAGCATTACATGAAATGCTAAAGGGTCTTCTTAAAGAAGAAAAAGAAAAAAAAAGATAAAAAATATGAATAAAATGGCAATAAATACATATCTATCAACAATTTAATGTAAAAATCAAAATAAACAATCAAGAAATCTAATGAGCCCTGACCAGTTTGGCTCAGTGGATAGAGCGTCAGCCTGGGGACTGAAGGGTCCCCGGTTCGATTCCGGTCAAGGGCATGTACCTTGGTTGCAGGCACATCCCCAGTTGGGGGTGTGCAGGAGGCAGCTGATCGATGTTTCTCTCTCATCGATGTTTCTAACTCTCTATCCTTCTCCCTTCCTCTCTGTAAAAAAGTCAATAAAATATATTTAAAAAAAACAAAAAAAAGAAATCTAATGAACAAAATATACTGATGAATAAAATAGAATCAAAGGCATAGAAACATGGAACAGACTAAGAATCTCAGAGGGAAGGGGGGGGGAAGAGATTAAGCAAAGAACTTATATGCATGTATGCATTACCTATGGACATAGACAAGAGGGTGGTGAAGGCCTGGGATGGGGCAGGAACCAGTGGAGAGCGACAAAGGGGAGAAAGAAGGTGGGGACATCTGTAATACTCTCTCAACAATAAAGATTAAAAAATTAAATTAAATTAAAAAATAGTTATTTATAGGGTAGGATCCAGATTTTTAAAACACAACTACTTTTTCATCACCCTATTATTTCAACCAGTTGAGAATAATAAAAATCAGAAATGTGTGAAAAAAATCAGTTTTAATATGCCATTCTGACTTGTTGATTTCTTTTTTAAAGCCATTCTGTTTTAAAGTTGGGAAAAAGCAAAAAAAATGTTTCTAAATCAGATTATTTTGTATACAAACCTTCTTTATTTTCTAGCTGCTGTGGAGTTTTTTTCTTCTTTTTATCTTCATAAATTGGCCTTTTCTTTGGCAAAGAGTCTTTTGATGGCACTTCAACACCTGAGGGATAATGGAAAATTTCAGGTTTATACTAACCTGTATGTCACCTTAGGAGATAGTACTTAAACACATAACATTCTATTCACCTCAAAGATACATACCTTAAAATATAAAAAATAACATTCATGGAAAAACCTTTTTTATATAAGGCATTCTAAATTTTACCAATACAATAAAATTCCATTATGTCGGTGTACGATTCTAAGACTTTTGACAAATGCCTAAAATTATGCAACCACCATCGCAATGATGATGCAAAAAAATTCCATCACTCTGTGGATATTATGTAGTCAAACTCTGCTCACATCCTTAGCCCCTGGCAGCACTGACCTGTTCTACATCCTCAAAGATTTGCATTTTCCAAATGTCACAGAAATGAACCTTACAGTCTGGCTGCTGTCATCTTAAGGGATGAGTCATCCTCTTTGTTATATGTACCAGTATTTCATTTCTTTTTACTGCTGGGTAGCATTCCATTGTATTGATGGAACACAGTTCCTTTCTTTATTCAGTAGACAACTGAAGGACATTTGAGTTATTTCTAGTTTTTGACATTTATAAATAAAGCTGATATGAGTATTCGTATGGAGAGGTTTTTGTGTGAACATTTCTCTGGGGTAAAGATTTTGGAGTGGAAATTATGGCACATTAGGTAAATATGTATTTAATTTTCTAAGCAACTGACCACTGTTTTCCAAAGTGTCTTTACAAGTTTGCATTCCCAGCAGTAATGTATGAAAGTATCAACTGTTCAATATCCTCACAAGCATTTGGTTAAAACATATGTTTTGATTCTTTTTAATTTATGTATTCTAAAAAATGTGTAGTGATATCTCATTGTAGTCTTAATTTGAGACCATGTTCACATAACTTTTATTATAGTTAATATTGTTATATTTTTCATTTTAGTTCTTGTTAATCTCTTACTGTGTCTAATTTATAAATTAAACTTTATCAGAGGTATGTATATGTAGGAGAAAACATAAGTATGTTTTGTTACTCCATGGTTTTAGGCATCCACTGAGGATCTTGGAATGTATCCTCCACATTTGAAGGGAGACTACAGTAGATATAGGACTATCCAGGTTATGTACTTCTTTATGAGTTTTGATAGTTTATATCTAGTAAGGAATGGCCCTATTTTATCTGAGCTTTTGAATTTATGAGTATAGAATTGCTCGTTCTATTCCCTTATCATCATTTCAATACTTATAGGATCTGTAATGATGATGCCTCTCCCGACCCTTTCACTCCTGATATCAATAATTTGTCTTAGCTTTTTCTTAGTCAGTCTAGAAGTTTATCAATTTTATTCATTTTTTTTTTCAAGAACTGGTTTTTGGCTCCATTCTTTTTTTTTCAGAAACTAGAACTTCATTATAAGTACTTATTATAAATGGATTTTGTATACTCTTTGAAACTTTTAAAGCCATATGTAACCTAAGATTATTTTAATGTTTTTCATTATTCAATCTATAAAGTACAAAGAACTTATATATATATATCTCAGAGGGAAAAAATGTAAATTGAAAAAACTAATAAATGTAAAAATACCCCACCCCAAACTAAAACAAACCCAATTAAGAAATAGATTCTACAAAGCCTATTAATCCTCCAATTTAAAATAAATGAATTCCCAAGGGAAAAATATTTCCATAATCATAGCAGTTTGATGAATAAAAGCAAAGCTGCTCTCATTAAGGAAAATTACATTATATGTAAGAAAAATGTAATGATGTTTCTAGAAAATGAAGAAAAGTAATTTCCATGTTGGATTTATCAAGCATACTAAATAAGGATTTGAAGGAGAGAGAGAGAGAGAGAGAGAGAGAATGAGAGAAACATCAATTTGTTGTTTCACTTATTTGTGCATTCATTGGTTGCTTCTTGTATGTGCCCTGACCAGGGATTGAACCTGAAAGCTTGGCTTATTGGGACCACACTCCAACCAACTGAGCTATCCGGCCAAGGCCTAAATACTTTTTGTTCACTTGGCCTTTGTTTGAAGTGACAGTACCTATTTCCATGAGAAAAGTGCTATGAACATGAACATCATAAAACCAAGCTCCCCAATGATTTTTCAGTTTAACCTCAGGAGAACCAACTCAAGAGCTTCAAAGTCCAAGGACAGACTGGTCCCAAAGCATTTCCTCTCCTGTCCTTTTCTGTGCCTTGTTCCTTTTTCTCTTTTCTACGCTTACAATCCTTTCTTAGAGGCTACATCTTGTCTTTTTCTCTCCCTTTGATTCTTAAGCTTTTCTGTGCTGATCCTGTTTCTACCTCTGTGTTGCTTCTCTGGAAGCTCTTGTGTTTGTCTAAATCTGTTTCCTCACAACCTTTTTTCCTCTTATGTTTGGGCTGCTGCTCCTCCGATTTTTCTCTGCCTCCTTCTGGGTGCCATTTTCTCTTCTCCTGTATCTGTTCATGGCCGGCTTTATGGGCACTGGTACTGGTTTCTGAGAGGTGCCTGTAAACTCTAGATTCTACACTGTGTGAGCTATAATTATACTCTAGATGACTAAGGTTCAGGGGTGCTGGTTTTCCTGAGAAATAGTCCCTGGTGAATTGACAGTATCTCATGCTGTCATGAGCTGGTAGTATGAGGTAACTGGTTTTCCACTGTTTGTGAAACACTGCATGACCTTGGGTGGGTCTGGATGGTTTCAGTTGGGAGTCTTTGATCAAACCTTCTGTACCTGGGTCTGAAATCAACCTCTTCTTTGTCCCTACAGGTTTCCAAATAGTCCTCTCTCATCTGTCTGAAACAAGTCTTTGGTTTTAAGCCTCTGGCTTTCTGCACTTTGATATAACCTTCAAGTTCATCTTGAAAAGAGTCAGATGTCTTCTCTGAATGCTTCTTTAGGTTGACAACAAGGGATTTTCCTTATCAGACTGAGAACTTGGTGGAGAAATCTGATCATATTCACCCATTAATTGCCTTCAGTTTTCTAGCATAAACTTTCCCCAAAGAGTGAGACTGTGCAACAACTGGGGAGCTTCTTGTGAGGCAGGGGCAGGCGTCTATGACTACTGTCCCCCTCTCTGCCAACGACACTGGCCTGGAGATAAGCTGAGGTGGAGGTGGCGGAGAGGCAGGGACAACCGCTGCTGCCACCACTGCCTCCGCTGCCGAGCAGGCGGGGTAGAATGAGGAGGCCTAATTGATTCTATTTTTTTTCTACTACATTACTTTGCTCTTCTTATTTTTGGTTGGTAGGATGGGAAACGTAAGACTATTCTCCTTTTACTAAAAGAAGCATTTTAATGCTATAAATTTCCCTCTACGCACATTTTCAAAATTTTGTTGTGCTTTATCTTTTTTTAAAGTTACTATCTAATTCTTATGGACTTCTTGAACTCATGGATTAATAAGAAGCAGGTTGTTTAATTTTCAAATATTTCTGGATTTTTCTCAATATATTTCTATTATTCTTTTCTAGTGTAATTGTTGTGTGAGTGCGTGCGTGCGTGTTTGGTTAATCCTTACCTGAGATATTTTTCCTACTGATTTTTAGAGAGGGAAAGGGAGGAAGCCAGAAAGTGGGGGGAGGGCAGAGAGAGACATCAATATGAGAGACACACATCGACTGCTGACACCTGCACTCACCCCAACCAGGGCATGAATCAAACCTGCAACCCAGGTTATGTTCCCTTGGATCAGGATTCAAACCCATGAACCTTCAGTGTGTAGACCAATGCTCTAACCACTGTGCTCACCAGCCAGACAGTTCAATTATGTTTTATTTTTTATTCTGTTTGCTTTAATTCTTTCAAATGTCTTAAAGCTTGTTTTATGGCTCTGGATCCTGATTTTTTTTTTTTTCTTAATCAACTATAAAATGCATTTGGAGACAAATGGGGAAAAATTTTAAATGGACAGAAAATCAGATGCTATCAAGGAATTAACTTTGTTAGAAGATGTACTCTATTCATGTTAAAAAGTAAAATGTCCTTACTTGTTAGAGATACATACTAAAGTAAAATAATATGGTATCTGAAATTTACTTTAAAATACTACAAGGGAAAAAAGTGGGTGGAGGACAAAACAAAAATGATATATATTGATAATTGTTTAAACTGAGTGATGGGTAATGGGGACTCATTTAACTACATTCTCTATTTTCATTTATTTTGGGGAACAAAAAAATGTTTTTATACATACACTATCATTTACACATAAAATTTTAACATAGTATGTAAGTCATCTCCCTACATAAGGAAATTATATCACCTAACATTATTAGACTTTTTCACAGCATTTTCATAGGAATTGTTCTAGTACAATTCAATTTTCATTTTGACCATTATAAAGATACAACTACTTGAGAGAAACATCTAGACTCTTCCCATTAATTAAAAATACTACTTACCCTGAGCTTGTAGAAGTTTAAGGGTAGCTTCAGCTCTGGCTCTGGCTTCTCTCTGAGATTTTGTTAAAAGTTTCCCTTCTTTTTTCAAGCGTTCTTTTCTTTCTTTTTCTTTTTGCTTTTTCCTTTCTCTTTTTTCTTGTTCTAATCTTTCCTATAAAAGAATATATATCAGACAAAAATTGTACTAGCTTAATCAATTATAAAATTTAAATGTAAAAAACCCAAGCTTCAAACAGAGCTTTTGCGATACATGCAAAGTATTATGTTAGGAGATTCCAAATGAAAATATTTTAAATGTTATACATAATTTTTTTTGTTAATCCTCACCCAAGAATATTTTTTCCACTGATTTTTTAGAGAGTGGAAGGGATGGGGACAGACAGAGAGAGAGAAACATCAATGTGAGAGAGAAACATAGATTGGTGGCCTCCTGCATGTTCCCAACCAAGGCCAGGGAACGAGCCTGCCAGCATGCGTCCTTGACCAGGAATCGAGCCAGTGATCCTTCAGTGTTTGGGCCGACACTCTACCACTGAGCCACACCAGCCAGGGCGCACATAATGATTATTCATGAGAATAGACTATGTCTTGGCAATGATACATAAGCAACACCTGTCTGTACCTCAGGAAATAAGGGTAGAATTTTCTGTACCTCTTGATCTTATTATTTAAATCCAGACAGACAACAGATTAGAGGTTAGAGATATTTCATAGAGAAGAGATCTTAAGTTAAACACAATGTCAATGTCAGCAACTTTATGAAAACGTACCTCTTCTTTCCGCTTGGCTTCCAACTCCTCAAGCCGTTTGATGCGTTCTTCCTCTTCTCGCTTCTGTCTCTCTTCTTCTTCTTTCAGCTTAGCCAGAGCTTCCTGCATAGCTTTAACTGTGGCTTTGCTAGGTCCTTTTTTCTTCTCCTTCTCTTTGTCTTCCTTTTCTACTTTCTTTTTCTTCTTATCTTTTTTCTTTTTGTCTGCTTCATTGTCATCTATCAAAAAAGAATAGATAAGCTGTTGTTTTTTTAAAGTTTCCTAAGGCAATGATGAGCAAACCCCAGAATTCTAGGACCGTAATGGGCTGAAGCTGATGCTAGCAGCAGGCTAGAGCCCATAGGCATCAAGGCATCCAGAAGAGCACAGGAGAACCTGAGCGCCTAGATCAGCTTAGAATCCCCAAGCTAGCTTCCTTAGGAGCCTGCAAGGCTGGTGTTGCTCTAAGCTGTCCTGAGAGATGCCAGAAGACAGCAGGATCTTGTCAGCAGGGACAAGATATAATGTATCTAATGTAGCTCTTAATCCACAGTGTCTGAATTCCTGCCTTAATTCTTAGCTAGTGTTGCTTCTATAAAATGGGAATAATATGAATGATGCCAATCTTAAGATATTAGAAGGGTAAAACACAAAAATATAGGTAATTATATTCTAAGAACTCTATAGTATTATGCTTAGAAAGCTAAAGATTATAAAGCTACTTTCATGGTATTTCTCTTCAAATATGTCCAGATAATATTTCAAGTGGTTAAAAAAGTTATGTCAATTTTCCCCTTAAAAGTTTTACCAGTCTAAAGAAAAGCTATGTGAATCATTTGATCTGTTTTTATTCTGATTAAGAATGGGAAATTTGCCAAAACCGGTTTGGCTCAGTGGATAGAGCGTCGGCCTGCGGACTGAAAGGTTCCGGGTTCGATTCCGGTCAAGGGCATGTACTTGGGTTGCGGGCACATCCCCGGTAGGAGATGTGCAAGAGGCAGCTGATCGATGTTTCTCTCTTATCGATGTTTCTAACTCTCTATCTCTCTCCCTTCCTCTCTGTAAAAAAATCAATAAAATATATTTAAAAAAAAAAAAAAAAGAGTGGGAAATTTAACTATAAAGCTATTTTTTGTAATTAGTTATGGTACTAAAAAGTGTCTATTGCTTAAAAGATGTTAACTAATTTCAGCATGTTTCACTTTTCTATTTCACAGGCTGAATTGGGTTTTTAAAAACAGCTAAGAGCCCTGGCCTGGGTAGCTCAGTTGGTTGAGCATCGTCCCATGCACCAAAAGGTGACCAGTTCAATTCCCGGTTTGGGTTGTGGGCTCTATCCTCAGTAAGGGGCATGCAGGAGGTAGCCAATCAATGTTTCTCCCTCTCTCAGTTTAATGTTTCCTCTCTCTTTCTCTCTCTTTAAAGTTAATAAAAACTTTGATAAAGAAATATAAAAACAGGAAAGAATTCAGTTATCACCTGACACCAAGTTATCGTCAGAGAAGAATAAATTTTCATTAGGCAACTTCTACTCTTTATCAACAAAAAATTGGTTACCACAGTGAAATTCTATAAAAATCCTAGTCTGTGTACAAACCACTTGAAAGACATTTTGTATTACATATAAATCTTTAACAATAAACATCAATTCAAAAAGTACACAGATGTAGTTTTTTAAAGATTTTCTTACAATTAAGCATCTTTATAACCAAGGACAAATAAGAAAATGACTTGGGGCATAATAACCAAACCTTAGATTAAATATGAACTCAAGCCTTTTGCCCTTTCTGCAATAATTTACCAACCTTCAGCGGCTATGGGCACCTCTCCCTTCTCATCAGAGGCAGGGGCTGTTCCAGTATCAAGAGTCACCTTGGATTTTACACTTTCCTCTTCAGATTTCTTTTGAGGTTCTTTTTGTTTACTCTGATCCTTTTTACCAGTTTCTAACTCTTCTTTTTCTTTCAGCTTCCGCAGTTTTGCCTTTTCTTCATCTCGCTTTTTTCTCTCGCGCTCTTTCTTTTCTGCCTTCTTTTGGGCCACTGTCTTAATTTTGAAGGAGTCTTCATCTTCATTCCCACTCTCTACAGTAGGACCTGGCTTATTTTTTTGATTTTTTTTCTGTCCTTTTCTAGACTGCAAAAATTCATCTGAATCATCACCACTTTCCCCGGAAGAATTTACTCTGGAACGCTCTTTAATTCTCTTACTGTTATCCTCATCCTCTTCTGACCCATCCCACTTCTTATTTGATTTTTGAGTTTTCCCTTTAGCTTTTTTAGAAAGTTTTTTTAAATCATCATCATCATCATCATCACTCCCAGAGTACATTTCCACTTTTGGTTTTGCTGTCTTTTTTGATTTTGAATCCTTATCTTCCAATTCATCACTATCATTCTCATCAAAATTTTGTTTTTTGCCTTTCTGTCCTTTCTTTTTTTTATCTTGTTTTGAGAAGGATTCTTCTTCATTATTTTCTGTTGGCTAGAAAATTTCCATTGTTAGAAATATTAACAGCGTTATATTTTGTTTTAAAATAAATAATTGAAACTCCTCAGTCACATACTTCATTAAAAACACATCAAAAAATTCTCAAAATATTTTCAAAAGTTTTTTTTTATAAGGATATAAACCTCAACTAAGTAACAAAAGCTAGCCTAGGTGTCAGGCACATCTCACACTGACAGTGAATGTCAGAATCCAGGTGCTCTAAAGCCAGTACTAATCACAATCCACATTTACTAGCTTCTTCAAATGGCACACAAAGTTTAAGGGGGGGTATTGAAATAAGAAGAAATACCTATCACTTTCCCACTGTTCTGAGGCCTCTCCAAATTCAAATGATGAAAAAGAAACAATATTTAAGAAATTGAAGGTGGAGATAGGAAATGTTCTATCTCCAAATATATCAATTTTATAAACAGGCAACATATCCCAAAATACCTTTAGATTCCAAGAAAAGCATCTTTCTATCTGTAAAAGGTTTTAAAAGACATTATTTCTTTCCTAAAACTTGCTTTTCCCCTGTTGGCATCAGAATTTATAGAAAATTTTATCCGTTTGCAAAAGCAGCTCCCTAAAAACAGGCACTAGGAAGCAAGGCTGGCTAACAACCATTCACCTTTGTTGCCGCGGTTTCTCTGTCAGCTTTGATGCCTTGAGCCTCCCAAGACAATTCTTCCAGTTCTTTCAGGATATCATCTTCACTAGAAAAGATGAAAATATATTTAAGGCAAGGAATCAGCTTAATAAGTGAATCTTGTACCAAAGCCAGTAAAAAGGAAATATATTTGAAATATACTTACTCAAAGTCTTGCCTTTTTTTTTCTTTTTTCTTCTTCCCCTTGGACTTTTGAGGCTCCTGCTCCTTAGCAGCACCAGCTCCTTCTATTTCTGCAGCCAAGGCATCAAGATCAATGTCATCCTTGGCACTTAAATGAAAACAAAGAAGATCTAAATGTTACTCGAGAACAAAATAATCTAGCACATTCACCTACAGAGGAACGTTTTAGAAAAATGTTTTTATTGATTTTAGAGAAAGAAGGGAGAGAGAGAGAGATACATCGATGACAGAGAAAGATTCATCAGCTGCCTCCTGCCGGCGGCCACAGAGGGGGGCCCAGGCCACCTAGCTGGCAGCACTGAGGTGGGTGGGCGGGGCCTCCCTCTGCGGGGTGATCGATTTGGGGCCCTGTGATCGCCCAACAGAGGGAGGCCCAGGTCACTAGCCAGCGATGCTGTGGCGGTGTGTGAGCAGGCCAGCAATCACTCTGCAGAGGGAGGCCTAGGTCAGCCAAGCTATCGCACCCCACGCCAGTCACCCGCAGAGGGAGGCGACCAGTGGCGGGGGCAGGGGGGAAGGGGCAGCACCACACAGATGGCAAGCAGTGGCAGTGGTGGCCCTACAGGGCTAGGCCCTGATCGCCAGCCAGGCCTAGGGACCTTACCCAAGGAGTCCCAGATTACGAGAGCACACAGGCCAGGCTGAACCCACACCATCACCACCACCACCACCACCACCACCACCCCCCCGCCGCCCCTGTGCATGAATTTTGAGCACTGGGCCTCTAGTAAATAAGACAAAAAACACATGGTTATCGTAATAAATGAAAAAATAGTGTTTAACCAAAATCCAACACCCTTTCCTGGTAAAAGGAGTCAACCAACTAGGAATAGAAAGCAAACTTTCCTCAACCTAAAAAAGGGTCTCTAGGGAAAGCACAGCTAACATTATACTTAATGGGGGAAAACAAAGTTTCCCCTAAGATCAGAAACAAGACAAAAATGTCCACTCTCCCCATTTCTATTCAACATTGTACTGCAAGATTTAGCCAGAACTTCAGGCAAAGCAAAGAAAAAGCATTTAGAGTAGAAAAGGACGAAACCATTTGAACTTGCCTAAGACCTGACCATAAAATCCTAAGGATAAAAAGATTATTACAGCTAATAAGTGAATTCATTAAGATTTCAGTATAGATCACTGTACAAAAATCAACTGTATTTAAACTATGCACTAGCAATGAACAATCTGAAAATGAAATTAAGAAAAGAATTCCATTTACAATAGCATAAAAAAGAAATGCTCAGGAATAGTTTTTGAAAAGAGTTGCAAATCTACTCTGAAAACTACAAAATGTTATTGAAAAACACCTAAGACCTAAATAAGTGGAAAGACATCCCATGTTTACAGATCAGAAGGCAAAATATTGGCAATACTCCCAAAATTGATCTATAGCAGCAATTTTCAAACAATGTGCTGCAAGAATTTTTGAAACATGCAATATCTGACTATTTAGTCAGGGCACTGACCTCTTTTCCCTAAGATTGTCAAATGAAAAAATGGTAACAGCCAACACAATAGCTGTCCATTGTAAATGAATCAAAATTACATCTTTTTTTTGTCAGATCAGCAAAAAACATATTTTTGGAGTGCTATAGAATTTTAATAATTAGTTTATGTAGGCCATGAGATGAAAAAAAAGTTCAAAATCGCTGATCTACAGGTGAAATGTGATCCTAATCCAAATTCTACCTACTCCCACCTCCCCTTTTTTGCAGAAATTTAGAAGCTGATCCTAATATCTCTATGGAAATGCAAGAAATCCAGACTAGCCAACACAGTCTCAAAAAGAACAAGGTTAGAGAACTCACACTCCCAATTTCAAAACTTAATACAAAGCTATAGTAATCAAGACAGAGAAGTGCTGCTTTAAGGATAGACATACAGATCAATGGGACAGAATTGAGAATCTATAAATAAACACCTACACACATGGTGAACTGATTTCAACAAAGAATTAAAGTCTTTTTAACAAATGGTGTCAGGACAACTGGATATCTACATGCAAAGAATAAAGTTGGACCCCCCATGTTACATGATATACAAAAGTTAACTTAAAATGGCTCAAAGTTTAACACTATAAAACTACTAGAAGAAAACCTAGTAAATCTTCACGACCTTGGATCTAGTGATGGTTTCTTAGATCTGACACCAAAAACATAAAAAACCAAAGAAAACATAGATGAATCAGACTTCATCAAAACTAGAACCTTTTTGCTACAAAGGATATCACCAAGAAAGTGGAACAATGGGAGAAAAGAAAGGCAACTCACAGAATGATAGAAAATATTTGCAAATCATACCTGGATAAAGGGTTGGTATGTAGAATATATAAAAAATTCTTATTCCTAAATAATTTTAAAATGGGCAAAGGCTTTGAATAGACAGTTCTCCAAACAAGATATGCAAATATCCAATAAGCACAACATTTAACATTTTAAACCATCATGGAATGACAAACCAAAATCATAGTATGATACCACTTCACACTCATGGGAATGGCTACTACACAGTAATCGAAAAGTCAGTTGATAAGTGTTAATGAGGATGTAGAGAAATTATAACTCTAATACATTGTTGGTTGAAATGTAACATGGTATTTCTTAGATCTTTATTCCTTTTCCTTCCTCCCACACTTTCAAAATAGTTACAGCATGGTTTTGGTTCTACATTAAGTGTTTCATTATGTAAATGTTGTAGTTACTGCTGGGGCAAATAGTACACTGTGATTATTTCAGTACTGTTTAATACAGGTTTCAAAATACCTTTTGCACTAAACGTTCTCGACAATACATATTTGTTACAAGGCATAAAATAGAAAGAAAGGAAGGTAAAAAAGCAGTCATTTGTGTGTCACTAATTAAAACATTTGAATGCTGCTGTATCTTTTTCTCCATGCTCTCCCCCTTTACTATTCACATATTAGGACAAACTAATAATCTAATCACAACATAGTCCTCATCCTTTATACAGCTACTCCTAATAAGAGTACAATAAATTGGTGACACACAAGACAACCAACCATCCTGGAAAAGTTTTCCTATTTATCAGAAAAAAAGAAAGAAAAAGTATTACATTAACAGCAATGAAAACTGTAAGATACCTAGAAATAAGCAAAGAAAGAAATATTCTAAAGACTCAAGTGAAGAAAATTATAAAATATATATAAAGCCCTAATATGCAAATAGACCAAATGGTGGAACACCGAACTGGTCACTATGACGTGTGATGACTACCAGGGGGCGTGTGCAGAACATGGTGGACGTCAGACGCAGCGGGATGGTAGAGCAGGTGAGCGGGGGCGCCAGACCAAGGTGGGGCACCAATCGCTTTCATTGGGGGGAGCCTCTGGTGGTTACTGAAAATTCTTTGCTCCCACGCACCACGGTCCTGCCTGGCACTCGCACCCACTGCCAGCACCTGGTGCCAGCCCCGATCGCCCCTCAGGGCTTCTCCACCTCCCCCTGCTTCTGAGGGGCGATTGGGGCAGCAGCCGCCACTCACATCCAGTGATGGCGCCGAACAATCAGGGCCAGCACCAGCAGACAGGAGACCAAGAGCTGTGGTGGGAGGAGCCGGGCCAGGGCATGGAGGATCAGCCGAGACCCACTCCTGTGCCCACTGTAGCCTCGTGGCCCACAGTTCCTTTCAAGGTGCACGAATTCGTGCACTGGGCCCCTGGTAATAAAATATTACTTCAACCACGTCCAGCATGGCCAGTGGTGAACCTGAGGAGGGGCAGTGAAGGATTAAAGAAAACAGACAAGAGAATACAGTTGGGGCCAGGTGGATCACTGCGTCTGGATGAGGAAACAGTGACACAACCTGTAAGCCCAAGCTTTACTTTATAGTCAGATCACACAAAGCAAAACAAGGGCAAGATGTTTACGATGTTCTGGCGAGTTTCAAATCTGCTTCTTTCCTGTTGTTGCCATTCTCTGCTCTATCAAACTTTGATTAAGCAGCACTTGCTGCACCTCCTGCAGCCCACATCCCTTAGCTACCTAGGACTGCAGGGTCAGACTATAAGGTCAAGCTTACAACCATAGCCTTTTGGCTATAATTGTGCTGGGAGGGCTTTGCCCTCCAAGTTGGGACTTGTATGTGGCTTTGCCACAAGTCAGTCTGAGGCTTGATCCTGTCTGAACGCTGTAGCTGCTCTCCACAATTACTGACATTACAATTACATTAACCAAATACAGAAGCATGTCATATTATTATTTGTTGATCACTGTATATGGCACTTTAATAGACACTCAATACATTTCTTGAATGGGATGATTCAATAACATAAAGGTGTCAAATGTACCAAATAATCAACTCCCAATTAAAATCAACCATCACAGCCCTAACCGGTTTGGCTCAGTGGATAGAGCGTCAGCCTGCGGACTGAAGGGTCCCTGGTTCGATTCCAGCCAAGGGCATGTACCTTGGTTGCGGGCATATCCTCAGTAGGGAGTGTGCAGGAGGCAGCTGAATTGATGTTTCTCTCTCATCAATGTTTCTAACTCTCTATTCCTCTCCCTTTCTCTCTGTAAAAAAAACCAATAAAATATATTTTAAAAAAATAAAAGTAACTACATGAGCCCTGGCCAGGCTCAGTTGGTTGGTTGGAGCGTAGTCCTATACACCAAAAAGTTTCAGGTTCAATTCCCCAGCCAGGGCACATACCTAGATTGCAGGTTCGATCAGTGGTCAGGACATGTACAGCAGGCAACCAATTGATTTTCCTCTTTCACATCGATGTTTCTCCCTCTCCCCTCCCCCTTTGCTCTTTCTCTAAAAATCAATAAAAACATATCCTCAGGTGAGGACTAAAAATAAAAGGGGTTGCATCAGCTCCAGATCTCAATAGAGATCACAATACAGAATAAGACAACAAGAAAAGTTCATCTGCCTTCTTATTCATTTATGGAAAACTAGAAATTCTTTCCCTCCTGCAACACACCAATTTCCTAAAATATCAGTGTCGGAACAAGCTAAGAGAACTCTCAGATTAAGCATCTTTTTTTTCTGATCTAAAGTATGCAGATAGATACCCCAGAATTCTACTGACTCATGAAACTCTAGTTCCTGAATGACATCTCCACCTCCACAATAAATGACTGTGTGATAGGTAAAACAGTATCTTCCTTCCCTCTATATTCTCTTTGGGGAGGTGTGTGTGTGTGTTTGGGGAGGGGGGGAAGATATATGGTATTAATCCCACTAGTTATAATGAGATACCATATTCCTTATAACTTGAAAAATATAACTGCCAGATTTGGGGGATCCAACAAAAGGAGGGATACCAGAATGAAGAATTGAATGTTAATTGTGAAAAAGCAGATAATCCAGGTCCTTTTCTCTGCACACATTAGTAAGAAACATTCACCATACTGTGTAAATGAAAACAGTAGGACGTGTCTTGAGAATGCAAGTTTCCATAAGATAAGGTCCCATTATGTAAACTGATGACTGGGAAGGTCATAGGAAGAAATGAAAATATTAGCCTTATATTCTGTATAAACTGTAGATGTTAAATACTATCCCTTGTCTCATCAAGAGTTTTCCCAAATGAAAAAAAGTCAGGATCACTTGCTGAATACCCTATATCAACGCCTCATTCTCAGAATTACACAAGCTGGAACAAAATTCTAAAACTTAGTCTTTAAAAAAAGTTTAGTCATTGGTATAACAAATTAGATACTCAAATGAAATAAAACCTAATTTTAAATGAACACTGAGTGGCTAAAAAGTTAAAACAGGGATTAAATATAACACTGTAAGAATTGAAACAGTCAAGTAATTTATGCTCTTTCCAAGAACTGAAAAGTAGCTCAGTGCCTTATCTTGATAACTAATAAACAGCTGCTCATTTCTCACCCAATTCTACTTGGCCAGAAACATGCTCTACTTAGGAGAGCTTGGTTAGGGAAGAGGTGGGATGAATGTAAAATCTTTAAAAGTGGAGATCTTTATACAAGAAAGTAAAACCAGGTAATATCTAAATATACTAACCATCAACTAAGCAAATCATAATCTTTTTGCTGGAGGATCTTGACTTTAATTTGAAAAAAAAGAAAGAAAGAAAGGAAAAGAAAACGCAATAGCATATGCAATGCAAAATAAAACTAGGTATGCCTGTACCTTTTAAATATACAAAAGGTCAAAGTAAACTAACCAAGTAGTGAAACTTCCCTCTCCCACTCCAAAATATCTAATGTGGAACACCAAGTAAAAAGGCCCGGCAATTCTGGTCAAGGGGGACCCTCTGCAAAACCCTAGGAATTTTTACCTACAATTTGAACAGCATCAAGCAAAGAAATCCATGGAGGAAAAATAAGGTGAGAAAACCTTTTCAATTACATTGCCACCACTTTCATTTCAAGGTGAGCCAAAAAATAAAGACTACAGATTAGTCTGAGCTGGGATAAAAACAAAACAAAACAAAAATACTTGCCCTAACCAGTTTGGCTCAGTGGACAGAGCATCAGCCTGTGGACTGAAGGGTCCCAGGTTTGATTCCGGTCAAGAGCATGTACCTTGGTTGCAGGCACATCCCCAGTGGGGGGTGTGCAGGAGGCAGCTGATCGATGTTTCTCTCTCACTGATGTTTCTAACTCTCTATTCCTCTCTGTAAAAAATCAATAAAATATATTAAAAAAAAAATACTCCCCAAACAACAGGAGCATTCCTTCTACACTTCCAAACCAATCTTTTAACAGGCTCCAGTGTTTGCAATTGAAACTTCACATAATCCGTGAAAATCTTTATGAATCAATGAGACACAATTTCCTCCAAAAATACAGACAATAAAATTCTCCCCTCTGAATATTTTTTCTATTGTGAGTCTGGAAGATAAAAACTGTAAGTAAAATAACAACATATACATGTACTTTTAAACCTAAATAACAGACTTCCGTAATCGTGAACCAAACCAATTGTTAAAAAAAATCTTTTTAATTAAGAGAATCAGTGAAATTAGAAAGTTGGCTGCACACTTGACAATATTTAAGAAAACACTGTAAATACTCCTTAGGCTTGACGGCGGCAGTGCAGTTGTGTTTTGTTCTGTTTCTACAGGTTTCTCCCCTCAAGTATTATCTTTCAAATACACCTGAAGAATTTACTCATGAACGGATTCTAAGGTTTGCTCTAAAATATCCAACAAGGGCCCTAGCCGGGTTTGGCTCAAAGAATAGAGCGTGGATCTGCGGACTGAAAGGTCCCAGGTTGGACTGGGGTTAAGGGCACATGCCCGGATTGCGGTCTGGATCCCCTGTGGGGGGCGTGCAGGAGGCAGCCATCGAGGATTCTCTTATCACTGATGTTTCTCACTCTCCCTCTCCCTCAAATCAAAATATATTTTAATTATTTATATTTACATACATACACACACACACATATATATGTGTGTGTGTGTGTATATATATATACATATGTGTGTGTATATATATATATACATATATATATATATATGTGTATATATATATATATATATATATACATACACATATCTCCAAAAAGGCAGGCCTGGCAGTCTGGCTCAGTGGTTGAGAGTTCACCGATGAACCAGGTCGCAATTTGCTTCCAGGTCAGGGCACATGACCTGGTTGCGGGGATCGATCCCCAGCATGGGGTGTGCAGGAGGCAGCCAACGGATGATTCTCTCGATGTTTCTACCTCTCTCTCCCTTCCTCTCTGAAATAAGAATATATTTTAAAAAATAAAATATCCAACAGGTGGATGAAACAGGATTGACGATGTGATAACAATGGGTGAAGCTGGGTAATTGGTACTCGAAGCTTTTTAAACTTACCTATTTTGTGTACACAGTTCAAAGAAAAAAGTATCCCACGCATCAGAACATCCTGTCAAAGGCAGGGAAATTTTGTCCCACGAAATCACCCAGAATTCTACCTTTTTTTTGGTACTTATCCTGTTTGATTAATAATTAGGTCCTATTTTTCAAACCAATTAACTTCCTCCAGTGGACCTGTAAGTGAAAAACAAGCCTCACCCTGGTTATCTTTTAATTCCACTCATCAACTAGATGAGTACTAGGTGAGGAAACGATCTAGAATTCCTACTACTTATAGTTAGTGATCTTATTTTAACTTCAACACCACACGTCCGTTTTGAGTCAGAAAGATGAACTATCACGGGTTGTTTTTGTTTTAAGTTACCTCACTCCCCTCCCGCCTCCCCCCGTATTTGAACTAAGTTTGGTGAGTGGTATACAAAGGCGGAAAGTAACAGATGCTGTTCCCTCCCAGGCAGCAAACTCTTCCGACGACAAAAGACTCAACCGAATGTGACACAGAAAAGTGACCGAAATCTCGGGGTGCTCCCTCCCTCCCCCCAAAGCCTTTTAAGTGGTGAGAAAGGAGCGACCCTGGTTGGTCGGTTTCCTCTCCGCCTCCTTTCTTGGGGGAGGTGCTAGAGAGCAAAGAAACCATCGAAAGACTGGCCGGAAGAAGGAAAGCGAAAAGCATGGAGTCCGGACCACCAGCCATGAAATAATCGAGAACTGTACCCACCAAATTAGATGAACTCAAGGGGGAGGTGAGTGCAAAGCGCCCCCAACGCACCTGAGGCTCCCAAGTGGGAACACCGGCTACGGGCACAGCTGCTTCGAGCTCCCTTCGCCCCCCAGTGCTCGCAGGTACAAAGGCGCACAGAACTCCTCCTGAGCCTCGCCTCGAGCGGCGCCCCCAAAACGCCGACCACCCGGACCACGCCGGGAGCCCCGAAACCACTGCCCCGCTTCTCAGGCCAGAGGCCCCTCCTTTCCTGGCCGGGCGAGGGGCAGAAGTGGGACTGAGTCTGGCTCGGAGAGCCCGCCAGCCGCCGAGGCCCTCCGCGCCTGCCCGGAACCGGGGTCTCGGGCCCGCGGCGCCCACTCAGGGCCCGGGCCCGGTGCCCTGCGAGGCCGGCCTCGAGCCTCAACCCTGGTCCACCCCGACCCGGCGGGACCCGCACGACCCCCTGAGCCGCGCCGGCCGCTGCCGAGCGGACCCAGACACTGACTTACCTGTCTTCGCTCTTGTTTTTCTGCTTCTTCCCCATCGCCTGACAGCGGCGCTCGCGGCCCCAAGCCCGCTCTTCGCTCTCTCACAGACCCACTGTCCCCCGGCCGACTTCGGGCTCCGCTCAGCTCCGTCCGCCCCGCGCTGCCGCCTCTCGCACCCGGCTCCGCACGGACCCGCGCACTGGGACAGGGCACATATGGTGAGGGCTCGCAGTGCGCAAGCGCATCTTCCCGCCGCCTCGGCGTGCGGACGCAGGGCGTGGCTCAACGAGAGCTGCCCTTCGGGTAGAGCGTCTCCACTGCGCCCGCCCGCCAGGCCGGAGCGGAGCGCCCCCTTCCCGCAAGCGTCCGCCGCGCATCGACGCCCGCGCGATTTCCAGGTTCTAGAACCCAAAGGCTGACAATGAGGCTGAAAATTCCCCAAGTCGGCCCCTCCCTTCGAGGGACGCATACTTGGAGAACTGGAGCCTGGTCAGAAGCCGAACTTAATTGAGCTGGGCTTCCGTTCCACCTTTCAACCTTTACACCTTTACACCTTTGTAGTCTCAGCTGTTGGAAAATCAGTAAAGAACCACAATGAAGCAAAGATAAGCGCTCTGGTTGTTCCCAAGGGAAATAAATCCAGGACAAAATTGAGCTTCTCAGTGACTCCATGAATTAGGAAGTACGTACAATCACTATAAAAATAAAGGACACACCCATTAAGTTCCCCAAATAGGTCGTTTACTAAAACAAGTTCTAAAAATTTGTGTTAGGGAAGTCACGAGGGAATCTAGGAAGGTGGTGAAAATGTGCTATAACTGGATCTGGTCGGTGACATTACGAGTGTTAACTACATACAAGCTAATCATGCTGTATGTTACAATTCAACTTTTTTAATGTTCCATAGACAGGATGGAAACGAAGTTGGAGTGTCACTCTTGAGCAAGAGTGTGGCTATCTGATTTCTGACATAACATGTATCCTGAGGTCCAGAGCCTACAGACAACTCCAGCTGAGCACTAAAAAACTACCACTCCCAGCATACTTTGCTCCCGCGCCCTCTGAGCTGTTTAAACCCCGGGCCGGAAACGGGGCCACACGTCAGCTCCAGCCTCTCGCCCGCCTTCCTCCCCCGTCACTTCCTCCGGCGTCGCAGGCTGTAAAGCGTAAGCGCGCCTCAGCCAATCTAGAGGCGGAAGTGACGGCTGGTTCGCAGCCATTAGCAGCTGCTGCGAAGCTGAAGCCAGGGTGGACTGTGCTTCTGGAGCCGCTGGTCCGTCCCTTCTCAGGGATCACCGAGAGCTCAGGTGAGGCAGGGGTGGTGTGGGGAAAACGGCCGCCGCGGCCCAGTGCTCACGGAGACGCCGCCGCTCAGCATCCTTCCAGGCGGGGGAGGGGCGCGGCCCCGGCCCCGGTGCCGGTGTCAGTGCTGTTGTGACCGTTTGGAGCCTGCGCCTCGGGAGGCATTGAAGGCGAGGGCCAGCTGAACTCCGCCCTCGTCTGTTCCCAGGCGGCTCGGGGAGTGGCAGGATACCTTGGGGACGATTCCTTGGGCAGGTCCTGTTCTCGGTTGAGGAGGAGGCCTCTGGGTTGGTTGGGAGGGCGCACGTAGGCGGATCCAGGAAGTGGGAAGGTAATTGGAGAACAAGCCCTTTCCCACCGTCCCAGTGGAGCTGAAAAATGGAAGAATCCGCGGCTTGTGGCTTAAAGAATAGAGAGTTAACAGGATTGCTAAACCTGGCCTTACCCCTTCCAATGCGGTGAACACCATCACCTGCCCCTCCCTCTCCCGCTCCCCCGCAGCTCTCGTCAATCACTTCCGCTCCAGATTATCGCAGCATTAAATTCTGAATTCATCCTGAAAGGGGGAAGGGCACTTAATAAGAATAGAGCCACAGTTGTTTAATAATTACTCACCTTACTAACTATAGATAGGAGGTTTTCTTACAGACTCCGGGAAACTATAGGATGTGTTGCAAAAAGACAACAACAGGGCTGTAAAAAAAACACATTTTAAAAACAGACCAAGGACAGGACACTCTTCGATTTGGTTGCGGTACTCGGACCCTGACCCCCTCCGGGAGTTGGCTTCGGGACGGCTGACCATTCTCCAGTCCCGGGAATGGGCTGAACTACTTGTAGCCTCACAAGAGGACTAGCCGCCTTAGGCGGTTGGCTCAGTGGATAGAACGTTGGTCTGTGGATTGAAAGGTCCCGGGTTCGATTCCAGTCAAGGGCACATACCTTGGTTGCAGGTTCCCCGCCCCTGGTCGGGGTTCGTGCAGGAGGCAACCAATCCATGTGTCTCGCTTCGATGTTTCTGTCTCTTCCTCTCCCTTCCACTCTCCCCCCAAAAAATCAATGGGAAAATATCCTCAGGTGAGGATTGACTATAAATAAATAAATAAAGCTTTAAAAAAACAAAGAAGATTAGCGCCTTGTTATCAGACTTTGAGCTCCTGAAGGCCGGACTGCAGACCACACCCTCCCTTGCCCTGTTACACTTGCAGCTCGCAGCTACAGCTGTTTTCTTTTCCTGATCCTAATAAAATCAGCCCACTGGTGACGGGGGTCAGAGCAGAATTTCCAGGTGACCGACTGCTCTTCCCAAACTGCCAGCATTATTGGAATAAACGCTCATTGATGATTCAACCCTGTCTCTGCTTAATTTGGCTCAAGTAGTGGCAGGCAGCCTCTGACCCATTGTGTCAGGTATCAATTCTATCTGCCCCTGGTAAGAACTTGCTTGGTTCTGACAAGCAAGTCAGGCTTTAGTATTCAGTTTTCTGCCTCACCTAGCCCCTGGAAAGTCACAGTCTCGCTGACATTTTTCTTGGAAGGTAGGGAGTGTAAAATTCTTTTATATATATATATAGTTGATTTTTTACAGAGAGGAAGGGAGAGGGATAGTTAGAAACATCGATGAGAGAGAAACATCGATCAGCTGCCTCCTGCACACTCCCTACTGGGGTGGTGCCCGCAACCAAGGTACATGCCCTTGACTGGAATCGAACTTGGGACCCTTCAGTCCACAGGCCGACGCTCTATCCACTGAGCCAAACCGGTTTCGGCATAAAATTCTTTTACTACATATAAAATACAGCTCCTTTAAAATTTTATAGCACTTGAGGAACTAACAGTTTGTTCATTCAAAGTTAATTTTTTTTCCCATTGATTTTTAGCGAGAGTGGAAGAGAGAGGGAGAGAGAGAGAAACATTAATGTGAGGGAGACATCGATTGGTTGCCTCCTGCACGTGCCCCTGACCAGGGCCCAGGCCGGGGAGGAGCCTTCAGTCCGCAGGCCGGTGCTCTATCCATTGAGCCACACCAGGGCCCAAGTTAAATATTTTTTGAGCACCTACTGTGCCCCTGACATTGCTAGCTGTAGAGATACAAAGATGCAGTGAAATGTGCATTTCAGCTGCTTTTTCTTTGGAGAAAAAGGAATCAAAAGTGAGGTTTTCAGGAAGACTATCTTCGTTTCCACAGAAGCTGGTGGATGAGATCACAGTTTATTCAGATTTTTTTGTTAATCCTCACCTGAAGATATTTTTTCCAGTGAATTTTTGAGAGAGCAGAAGGGAGGGAAGAGGGAGGAAAGAGAAAGAGAAACATCGATTGCTTGCCTCCTGAACGGGGATCGAACCTACTACCCTGTAGTGCCCTTTACCAGGAATCAAACCTAAGACCCTTCAGGGCACAGGCTGAAGATCTAACTACTTAGAAACACTGGCCAGGGCTCCCTCAGATTTTTGAAAGTGCTCCGTTAGTATTTGCAGATGCAGGTAAGTAGTTGAGATGCAACAGCCTCCTGCTTTGATAGGCAAAATATATAAATTATATTTCTGTAGTCATCCAGGTGTACACATAAAAATCGCCATCTGATTGTTGCTGGTGGAAAATAATACATTTCTTTTGAAAGAATTTTTTATCTTTTTTTTTTTAGAAAGACAGAATCATTGATTTATTGTTCCACTTACTTAAGCGTTCATTGATTACTTCTTGTATGTGCCCTGATCAGGAGTTTGAACCTGCAACCTTGTCATATGGGGATGATACTCTAACCATTTGAGCTGTTGGGCCAGGGCAGGACTACATTTCTTTAAAACCAATGTAATTGAGATCTTCCTTTGTAATCTGAATTAGAATATGTTTACAAACTCCTATCTTACATAGAAGAGTGATGGAAAAGTCAAAAATAGACTATTACATTGTTTTACATCAAAGCTAAGAACACTGAGTGTCAATAAGTCAATATCAATCTTGTGGCCTCATAGATTTTGTTAGGTAATGGGAGAAAAGGAATGGAAACCAAAGCTTAGGGAACACCAGGCATCATTCTTTACATAAATTGTAATTGCCTTTCTTAGGAGTTAAAGAAAAGAAAGTCATTTAGGCAGAGACCATGAAAATGTGTCTTTTGCTCAACTCTGCTCTGTGTTGAAGCAAAGTTTGGTATCTGTGTATATGTACAACCTTACAACAGTTTAGTCATTTCTATTTTGCTTCTCTTTCTTTGGTAAAGAATAATGATTGTCAATATATATCACTAGCTATAGTTCCAACTACTATAACTCCTAACTACTCATTTTTCTCTGGTCTGTGGTTATGTTCTTAAAGACTTATCTTTGCTTTCATATAATAAAACAAAAACTAACTCAGGAGCACCTAAACTTTGCTCTAAATCGTTTTTGAGTGCTGTGACTATAATCTATTGAAAAGCCTAACATGAAGTGCTTGATTGTCAGCAGAACACTTTGTAAACTATAAATTATGCACTTGCTGGAATTTTTTTAAAATAAGAAAGAAAACTTTACTTATTTGCATCTTTTTTTCTAACCTTGTAAACCTTCTCCCCAGCAGCAAGGCTGAACTGTAAAGAATGGAAGCTCATACATCTGTCGACATGTTTTCAAAAGTCCTGGAAAATCAGTTGCTTCAGACCACCAAACTAGTAGAAGAGCGTTTGGATGCTGAAATTCAGAAAATGGATCAGATGGACGAGGATGAACTAGAACTCCTCAAAGAAAAGAGACTTAAGGCACTAAAGAAAACTCAACAGCAGAAACAAGTAACCTCCCTGCTCTGCTTTCTGAAATTACTTTAACAGTGTGCGCCTAGCAGATATACACATGTGCCAGTAGTTACATTACAGGTCCTCATTGTTAAGGTGTTTTCTTTTTCCTTTATCTTTTTTTTTTTTTAACCTCAAATTACCTATCACTATTAAAAATTTGGCTGGATAAAAATTAGTT